TACCCGGTGTCTCGGTGGCCGCCAAGCTGGCCCTGGGCTGAGGTCCTTCCTCAGGCGGAGTTTCCCCGTCTTTTCGTTTGCTCGGTTTCAGTGTTGAAAGCACTGCGGCAGGGTCTCAGCCTGCAAACCACAGCCCCAGCTGAAAATTCAAGTCAAAGGTTGGGGCCCCAGGAAGGTATCTGGTTCCCATCCCCGGCACCAGCTCCAGGCACCAGCCTGGAGTAAGCCATGGAGCACTGGCCATGACCCCCTTCATCCCAAAATTCATAGGTAAATTCGTGGGTTGATCCTCTTCTTGAGTGACTTGAAGCCTTTGCCACTGGTTTAGTTGGCAGCTAGCTTATTCCGCTGGGGGTGGGGTGGGGTAGGGTTGGGGGGGATTTCCTAGGGGCTGATCCCCCCGGCGGGTGTTTTGATAACACCCCCCTATACTTGCAGGTGCTTCTGACTCTTTCAAACTAGTCATAACTACAGTGAAAATAAAAAAGAAAATGAACGAGGATGCGGGTCAGACGGGTTTTAATCAAGGTGGAGCTGAAAAGCCCAGAGCTACCCGAAGGAAGGATGCTAACGGGTAAAAGACGGTAAAATCTCCTGATTTTCACTCCCTCTGGGTCTCTAGTTCAGTCCTCGGAAGTAAACAGGGAAAGAGACTCAACATTCCTGCTGGGGTCTGCTCTCTGGGCCCGAATGGCCCTAATGAAATAGAATCCTTTTGCTTGAAGAACATTTTATCCCTCAAGGAGCAAACCCAGGACTTCACACGTGCAAGGCATAGGGCTCTCACAGAGCTGCCTGCCTCACCCCTCTCCCTTAAGAACATTTTAAAGAATATGTGTGTAGATTTTTTGATGGCAGGCACATACTTAGGAAGGATCTGCAGCCTCTGATCCTTTAATCTCTGTAGAAACACACAGCATTTTCTGCAGTGGAGGGACGGAGGAAGGAGACCTCCAGACCGAATGTAACTTGAGCTTCTCTCTCACCTTGGTCTTGACCCTTAACTTTCCTCAGCACCTGGGGAGCCAAGTCCTGAAAGGCTGGCTTGACTGGCCGAAGCTGCTGACTCAGAAACACTCAGAGCTGAAAGTTCACACTCGCGGGCGAGCAGGGGGTGTGATAAGGAGAAAGAGTGTATTTCAGAATTCTCTTGAAGGGCTGGAGCCATAGTACAGCAGATAGGGCACTTGTCTTGCACATAGCCAACCGGGGTTCAAGCCCCAGCACCCCAGAGGGTCCCGGGAGCACCACCAGGAGTAATTCCTGAGTGCAGAGCCAGGAGAAACCCCTGAGTACAGTCAGGTGTGGCCCCAAAACCAACCAAACAGAGTTCACTAGTATTTGAAACATGTAAATAAACATGTCTATAAGTAAAGAAGCTTAAATTAGAATTCCGGACTCAATCATAAGCTAGTAATTTTAGACCGGTGGAAGGAAATTTAGGAGAAGGGGGAATTTACACCCCCCAAAAGGGGCGGGGAATTCCATCCAAAGGAATTAATAAATAAGCATTAGGATATAAAATTTCACCATAAAATAAATGGCAGAGTTATAGTAACGGTCAACATGCTACATTCTTAAACAATTCCTATTCCTTAAAAGCATATCAAACAATTTGGGAACAAAATTGCTACATTTCTTGTCTACAAAACTATATTGAGATCTGGAGTTCAGTTTATTTTTTTTTTCTTGCTATTGGTGTCTACAGTTTCTTCTCTAAGAATTTCTCAAGGATTTCTGGAGACTCAGAACCTGCATTTACCGAAGGCTAAAAAGCAGAGGTCTCCAGAAGTACATATTAAAGAGGCCCTTTGAGCAGGGAACCCCTCCCCCAAAATGACCAACTACTTTTCTAAAAAAAAAAAAACAATGAATCACAAAGAAACATCTAATTTGCTAGTATTTTGAGATTCCTTATGGTCTGTGAACTTACTGTATGTATGGAATAGGGTTTCACTTTCTTCGTTACATGTAATGAACTACTGTTTCAAAACTACCTGACATGCTTGGAAATATGTGTCGTGTCCTGTACGCTAAAAACATCGTTCCATTCTAAGAACAACAATCAAAAGCAGAGCGAGGAAGGAAACAAAACAGAATGGTTACAGCAGCGGGGAGTTGTCCTGGGCCATTTTCCTCTGACTTAAACTACATATATAAAACATTGCACTAAACCATCTTATCTCTGCCTTCCTAATGGATCGCACGTACCTATTCTCTTCTTGCTCCATCACTGGTGGATGAAAGATGACTTAAAAAAAATAATAATCATGGGGGCAAACCAATACAAAAGTTATATAAATGATTGTGCAAGGAAAGCGTTCCATCTGAGAAGCTGGGGACTGGGCCACCATGGCCTTGGGGCTGTGCTCAGGCCACCTCCCTGACCACTCCAAGCGTAAATCTGGGCTCCTTCACAGTTGTGCGGCTGGGCAAGGAGGGTGTGGGCGGGAGGCGATTTTGGGTGCTGTGTGGGAAGGAGCAAGAGCCCTCTGCCTGCTGTGTCCAGTTAAACTCAGTCTCCTTTTAGTCCTCCAAGTCAGGTACCCTTCCGCGGCCGAGCAGACCCTCGTCCTTCCTTCCCACCCTCTGAAACACCCAGGGTCGGTTTTGGCTTTGTGACTCCAGAAACCACCACGGAGGGTCCTTCTCTCAAAGGAGGATCAGAAAATCCCAGGATGTGAAAGATTTTCACCTCCTTAACAAGGTCCCCAGAATTCCATGGTCTGGAAGACGGGTGCTGCTGCGAATGACCACCACCTAAACATGCCACTTGCTGCAGACCCAAATTCAGACTCCTGCCCCCGTGCTGGGGAAGAGGACAGAGGGGAACTGGAAAGGCTCAGGAAAGTTACCGGAGTGACCCAACTTCTAGAATGGACAAGACTCTTCTAGAGACAAGATTCTTGGTGTTACTAGACCCAGCCTAAAGGAGGAAAACAAACCCAAACTAACACCGTCCTTGTCTTCCTCCCACCTCCATTCTTAGAGAGTACACGCACAAAAATGAACAGATCAGACTGACAACAGATACAAGGGGGTGGGGGGGAGAGGGGGGTGGGCATTGCTGAGAAAAATGTGCTTCTCCTATCACTAAGGCTTAAATAATAGTAAGTCAACTCTCCTGTCATGAAAACACCGGGGCCTACCCTTCACATCAGCTGCCCTGAACTTCTGGCCGGCACTGAACAAGGGGACAGTTGAACTCCAGGTGGCCATTCCGTTCACTCAGAACCACAGGCCTGCGACATCCCCCTCTGCACAACTGTGTGAGAGAGAATCCTGGGCTCTCAAAAGTCTCCCGCAGGAAACCAGGGTCTGGTTTTGTGGGCCCGGCAGAAAGCAGAGCAAAGCTCTCACCCGCCTAAGAAGGTTCTGAGACTGCCCCCTTCTTCCCGGGTAATCCCAACACACCTTCCATGCCCTCCCTGAAAAGATGGATTTTCTTCCTTTGTCCATTTGCCACAGGGAAAGGGAAACACTTAAACATCCAGCCACGGAATCCCTAAAGCCTGTTACAATTCAAACAAGTGTCTGGGCAGGGCAGGGCAGCTCTAGAGGGCTCAGTTTGGGTCTGTAGGCCCAGGAGGCCTGGGGAGAGACAGGGATGCAGGCATGCCAACGGACCAGGGGCCGGAGGAAATCTACCCACCTCGGGGACTCTAGGAAACTCACCCCGCTCCTAACTGAGGGGAGAAGACTGGGAAAGGGTTCTGGGGGATGGAAGTCTGTGGCTGGCAGATTTGCCTGGAGAGGGCTGACAGCCCTCCTCACTACAGGGCATGTTTTCTGCCCGCTTAAGCCACAGAGACAGCAAGGACCGGTCTCATGATCAAGGGGGGTCTTGATCTACTCAAAAAAAAAGACAGGTCCAGGTGGACGGGCAGATTCTGGGACCCCGTTTGTCACGCGGGGCCTCCTTCTGGATCTCTATCCTCCCATTTCTAAACGGGGGTCTCTAAGGCTGCCGGCCACAGTGCTTGAACCAGAAGGACTTCGGGTCCACCACGCCAGTTCTGCCAGCGCGCACCTGCGGCCGGCTGGACTCCGGCAGCTGTGCCTCGCTCTTACCTGCGCCAACCTCCAAAATCAAGGTGTTCGGATGCCCGCGGCCAGGAAGTCGGGCACTCCCTAGGGTCCTGCCTGAGCTCTTGACGGACCCCTTGGTTAATGCTCTTGGCATTAAGGGCTCTCCCGGGGGGGGGGGAGCGGCTGGGGTAGCCAGGGGTGGGATGGATGGATGTCTGGGCTTGGAGAGGAGAGCCGGGCACGGAAGGGGCGGGGAAGCCCCCTTCTCCAAAGCCCCCTTCTCAAAGCCCCCTTCTCCAAAGCCCCCTTCTCCAAAGCCCCCTTCTCCAAAGCCCCCTTCTCAAAGCCCCCTTCTCCAAAGCCCCCTTCTCAAAGCCCCCTTCTCCAAAGCCCCCTTCTCAAAGCCCCCTTCTCCAAAGCCCCCTTCTCCAAAGCCCCCTTCTCCAAAGCCCCCTTCTCCAAAGCCCCCTTCTCAAAGCCCCCTTCCCCAAAGCCCCCTTCTCAAAGCCCCCTTCTCCAAAGCCCCCTTCTCAAAGCCCCCTTCTCCAAAGCCCCCTTCTCAAAGCCCCCTTCTCCAAAGCCCCCTTCTCAAAGCCCCCTTCTCAAAGCCCCCTTCTCCAAAGCCCCCTTCCCCAAAGTCCCCTTCTCCAAAGCCCCCTTCTCAAAGCCCCCTTCTCCAAAGCCCCCTTCTCCAAAGCCCCCTTCTCAAAGCCCCCTTCTCCAAAGCCCCCTTCTCCAAAGCCCCCTTCTCCAAAGCCCCCATCCCCAAAGCCCCCTTCTCAAAGCCCCCTTCTCCAAAGCCCCCTTCTCAAAGCCCCCTTCTCCAAAGCCCCCTTCTCCAAAGCCCCCTTCTCAAAGCCCCCTTCCCCAAAGCCCCCTTCCCCAAAGTGGCCCGCGCGCGCGCGCGCCTGGGGGGGCCGGGGACGGGGAGGCCCCGCAGGCGGCGGCGCCCCGCGCTCGCGCGCACCTACCGGGCTTGGCGCTGGGCGCCGGCAGCGCTCCGGGCTGGGTCTCGGCGGCCCAGCGCAGCGCGGCGGCTGCAGCCAGCTCGGCGGCCGGGCGCGGCGGCGGCTGCGGGGCGGCGGCGGCGGCGGCGGCGGCGTCTCCGGGCGGCGGCGGCGGCGGCCCGGGCAGGGCGCGCAGCGAGTCGGGCAGGAGGCTCTCCAGGCTCTCGTTGGCCTGCTGCCGCCGCAGGGCCACCTGCGCGGCCATGACCCGCTGGCGCTCGATGATGAGGATGCACTTCTCGCAGGTGCAGTCCTTGAAGCGGCAGTAGCGCTTGTGGCCCTTGAGCCAGGACAGGACGCCGTGGTTGCGGCAGCGCGCGCACTTGGGCGTGCGCTGCAGGGGCGCCCGCGGCGGCTGCGACACGGGGCCGCCCATGTACAGGTACGGGGAGCCGTAGCCGTTCATGCCCCCCGCGGCCCCGGGGACCGAGAGCGGCCGGCCGGGCCGGGCCGCCGGGCTCAGGGGTGGCCCCGCGCGCTCCGGGCTCCCGCCGCGCGCTCCGGGCCGGCCCGCGCCGCCGTCTTCGCGGCTCCCTCCCGCGGCGATCGCGGCCCCCACGCGTGGTCTCGAGCGGGCCCGGGGCTGCTCCGGGGCTGGACCGGGCCTCCCCGACCCCCGGCCCGGCTGCCTGCTGCCTGGGCCCCGCGCGGCGCGGCCGGGAGCGCTGGGCACGCTGTGAGCCCGCCCGGCTGCTGCAGCCGCCGCCGCCGCCGCCGCCGCCGCGCGCGCGCGCCGCTGGCCGCCCGCCCTCCCCCACTCCGCCCTCCCCGCCCCCCGCCCCGGGCCCGGGGCTCCGCGCGCGCGCCCGCCGCCCCCCTGCGCGCCTTCCCGCCGCCGGCCGGCCCGCTCGCACCCCGCGGCTGGCCGCGCATCACCTGCCCGGGCGTCACCTGCCGCCCGGACGCGCCCCCGGGGGCGCGCCCGCCTCTCCCCGCCTCCCCCCACCCACCCACCCACCCACTCACCCACTCACCCACCCACGACGGCCGCCCGGCGTCCCGGCCCGCGGCGGGCGCTCCGGGGAGCCGAGGCTGGCAGGGCTGGGGAGTGGAGCGGCACGGAGGGGGCCGGACCCCTGCGCTCTCGCTCTCTCTCTCTCCTCCTCCCTCCGGGTCCGAGCCGGTGGCGGCCAGGCCAAGGCCGCCGTCCCCGTCCATCCCGGTGGCCGCTTGGCCACGGCAACTGGGCTCCGCGTTCGTTCGGGTCGGGGCGGTCACCGACGGGTAACATGTTGTTGGGCTGAGAACGTGGAGCTGGTTAGGGGAATTCGGGCTCTTGGCGTTTCCTTTGGTAACTTTTTTTAAAATTTTATTTTGGAGGTTCGTGTTTTTTTTGTTTTTTTTTTTATTATTTTGCCGTTGTTTTGGAAAAACTCCGCTGACCCAGGATGGTGACCCATTTTGCAGGATTTCAAGGGGGAAAGGCCACCCGCCCCCCTTCTCCGGGGCCTCCTTTCCCTTTCTACCCTTCGCTCCGCGTCCTAATTAAAACACAAAACAACAAGAAACCACCCGAAATGGCCCCGGCCCTGAAAGGCTGGAGAGAACTTTGAGGGGGGGTTATGCTTAATTAAGGGGTGTCTAAACTTTCAGAGCCCAGGGAGGTGTCCTGTTGGCGCCCCCAAAGTGACCAGATGGGGTTTTTCCTCCCCCCACGACTGTAACTGAACTTACTGTTCCTCAACCCCGAAGGAATCCAGTGGCTTTTGAACAGGAACGGGCCATTTTCCCCAACCCACCGCAGGATTAGGCTGGGGGCCCTTACTTGGGATGGCAGTATGAAATCCCTTTTAAGCTGTTACTTGCATGTTTTTTTAAAGTCCTAGAAGTAAGCACTAGGGTTTGATCTGATAACTGCCAGCACAAACGTCCCTCTCCTCCCTATCCATGACAATCAAATCCTGCCCCCTCAAAAAAAAAAAAATAGTGGATATAGCAGCTCAGGGTTGCAGTTCAGTGCATCGGCAAAGAGTTGGGGCAAGTCCCAGATTGCTCCTGAGAGTCAGCTTGGAGCTTGTCCCCTGCCTGAATTGGAGACAGGAGCATAGTGTCCGCCAGTGCCGACTCTGTACTTGTGCAGAGGCCCTTGTCACCCAGGCGAAGCTGTACCTTTCTGCCTGGCCCTGCAAACAAGCGAACCTGAAAATCTCCCCTTTTGCTGAGAATTCAAATAAAGCATCGCCCGCATAGAAAGGTGATTTGGGGGAAGGTGGGGGTCGGGTGGGGGGTGGTGTTATAAAGGGAATTCCACTGTGTGTATTTTCCTTGGAGCCCTAAACCACTTCTCACTGGAGTGTCTGGGAATTGGAGGAGGTGTCGGGTTTTCACTGATCTGGTGAAGTGCTGACCCTGAACGGACTTCCCCACTAAAGTCTCCTGAGACACAGACCCCTTCTGATTTACCTCTCACCTGATCCCCTCGACACAGACACCTGTATGTCGCCTCCTGTCCCCCTCCCCCAACCTTTGCCAGCAAACCCAGCCCTAAAAGACCGTGACTAAAAGGCACTAAAGCTCTCGGACTGTAGGCAGAGGTCACCCAGTGGACTGGAGGCCTGGAGCTGGCTGCCAGTTGCTTCCTGTGACTAGGAAGAGCTGAGAATGACAAGTCTGGGAACTTTGCTGCTGAAATCTCAGGATCATGAGAAAATAAATGAGCATCGTGGGTTTATTTTTTTAGAGTGTATTTCTTGATTTTCCCCCAAAGGTCAGAGACACCAAGGAGTATAAGGCTCTTGGGAGGAAAAAAAGAAAATAGGGAAGGAAAAAGCAACAGAGTTCTGTGCCACTTTGGGGGGCATTCTGATTACCAAGGCGCAGCCCCTCTTTCATCTCTGGTCACCCAACCACTCCATCTTTTGCTACTCAAACAGTCTGGCGTTACTTGCTATCAGCCAGTCCCACGCCAGTGCCCATCAGGCACTGAGATCTAAATACTCATTTGATATCGTGCAATAATCCTTTTCTCATATTTGATAGGAATGTTTTCCATATCCCAGTATTTGACAACATCTCCCTATAGGGACAGGTTTGTATTTATGTTGGTAAAATGTCCCCTGCCTCAAAGTCTATTGTAACCCAACACCTGACAACCCTGAGTCCCATTTCTGTTTGCAGAAAGGGTTTATTCAAGCACATAATGGGATCCCAGCAGAAAGCCTTTCAGAACCAGGGACTATGGTAAACTTCACCACATGAACTCCGTTTCCAGGGCTATTAAGCTTTTAATTGGAAAATAGCAGAGGAAATTTCAAGGTGACTATAACGTGTTAGCAGTTAGTGCGGAGAAGAAAAGCCTGAGAGGGAATGAATGTAGAAAGCATATGGTCCGAATCACTTTTAGGAGGAACGGCCTGTTCTGCTAAGTCCCAGCAGCTTATGCACTTATGGGAAAAATCATCAAAGAAATCGTAAAGGGGGGGGGGTGGGGGGGTGGAGATTACAAGTCAACGGCCCCTCCCTCGACCGGATCCACCGGGGTTCTGCTCTGTGGTGTGTGTCCAAACCACAATGAACTGGGTAGAAAGTTGTGACAGGTAGCCACAGCGAAAGTGAACAATAACGTGCAGTCTGGGGTTCTCTGGGCTCACGCACACGCTCACTGTGTGCATCTGGGAACGCACAAAAGGCAGGTGCCCGGTGGCGCACGTTCAGACTCCAGACCCGGGAGTCCTGGTGGGTCCTTCTCACCCGCTCCCCACGCCCGCCCCCCAAGGGAAACTTCATCCAGAGGCGTTTCCGATTGACCTGGGTGTCTAGTAAACCCGAGGAGTTTCTGCCTGGTGGAATTCTCGCGGAGGGGGACGTCGGGCAGTGCCGACTTGACCGTTTTCCTCGCGTGCGCGGTAACGCGGGCGCCCCGGGCGCGCAGAACTTCCAGTTAAATGCATGCGGGAGAGCGAACCCCGCTCCGTGCGCCTGAAACTCTGCCTTCCAGGCGTCCCGCGGACGCTCTTTGACCAGCTTAAGACGGAGAGGGGGGCCGGAGGGGGCGGGCAGGGAGAGAGACAGCGAGCGACTTCTGGCAGCGACTAGAATGTCCTTGTTCTCCCGCGATTAATTGGGGCGAGACTCGTGCGCATTCGCCACGGAATCCCCCAAGCGCGGGGTCGCGGGTAGAGGCGGCGGGCGGGCGCGGGGCGAGGGACCCGCCTCTGAACAGAAGGAGGGTCCCGACCTCCGCTTCGTTTTGGCAGCGGGCGTCCGGCCGAGCCCCCCAGGGCGTGAGGCCTCTTGGAGCCAAGCGGGGCGAAGAGAGTCTGCCAGCAGGCGGGCCCCGGGCAGCCGCGGGCACCTCTAGAACCCTGCAAGCCGGCGGCGGCGGATGCCCGGGAGCCAACGCTCCTATTTACTCGTGCCATTCCATCAGACCCAAACGCGCGCGCCTTTGGGGGTTCGGGTGGGTGGAAGGGTCGCTCCGGACTCGCTTCCTTCCGAGGGGCGCACAGAGCGGCTTTGGAAGGCGAGGATGAGAAACGCGCGCCCTGCGCTCGGGCCGCAGCGAGAAGCGCGCGCCGCCCCGGCGTTTTCGGGGGCTCGCGGCTCTCCCGGGCCCGGGAATTGCGGGCTTCTGTCCCGCGATCGCTGCAAACCCCCGGGGGAGCCGGGACGCGAAGGGGGAACCGCAGCCCCGGGCAGCGGCGCGGCACGGCACGGCGTGGCGCGCGCAGCCCCGTGCAATTTTGGAAAAAAGGTCGCAGAAACGACAGGCGACGGTCTTCGGTGCAAAAGGAGCAAGAGACAACATCCCCTCCAGGGTAAAAAATGGGAAGAGTCCAACTGTGGCCCTTTTAAGAGTATTTCTTTTCCTTTTTTGCTTTTTTGGGTCCCACCCGGCGATGCACAGGGGTTCCTCCTGGCTCTGCACTCGGGAATGACTCCTGGCGGTGCTCGGGGGACCCTATGGGATGCTGGGAATCGAACCTGGGTTCGTGGCATGCAAGGCAGACGCCTTACCCGCTGTG